GTGATCCTCCTGCCTCAACCTGAGTGCTGGGATTACAGGCGTAGTGCTGGGATTACAGGCGTGCACCACCACACCTGGCTTGGAATATATTTAAGACCTGTAATTTATCACCAGTTTTTCATAAAAGACATTTTGACCAAAAGTATTCTTTAAAAAAAAATAAGAATAACATAACAATAGCCTATTAGGCCAGGTTTGGTGGCACTTGCCTATAATTCCAGTAGTTAGAAAGCTGAGGCAAGACGTTCACTGTGAGTTTGAGACCCTATTTCAAGTAACCAAGGGGAAAAAAATAGCCCATTAAATTTACGAAAACTTTTATTCACTGTTTTGCCCAATATTTTCTAGTTTTTAATGGCTGATGGGAAAAAGCTATCAGCTGTCCTTGGACTGGGTTTGGTGGCTAAGGTTCTATACCCTACAAGTGCTCTCTTGTTCTAAAATACCAGTCCTAGTATGCCAATCTCTACACTGGAGCTGGAAACCTGCTGAGAACTATCATTTGTTGAACACCTTGTGCCTGGCACTGTGCAGGGGTATTGCACACACATGAATGTATCTGATCTTCATGAAACTGAAATAGCTCAAAGCACAGGCTCATAGAGCTTAAATATGTTAAGTGGCAGGCCTGCTATCTCAAGGTCACACTCAGACTCTGCACCGGGGAGCCATGATCACAGTTTCTAATACTGTAATGGCAACACTTGATTGCATAAAAATGGAGAGGGTAAGTTTCAACTCATCAGCGTGTGTTTGTGAAGTCTTTTTTTTTTAAGTTCTGATGTTGTTCACCTTGCAGCTTGACTTTTTAATTTTCCTACTTTTCAATAACTTGCTTGGCCTTAGTAAATTTTAACTGCATTTCCTATCTCTCTTTTGCGAGTCAGGCTCATTTGCTCAGGTAATTATTCAAGGCTCACCTGAAAGACCCTGAGGCTTGGTCACATTTTCTTCTTCATTACTGAGCTGCCTTCCTAGGAAACATGGGTGAGTCAGCACTTTCTCCTAGCGCCGTGCACTGGAATGCTGACCTATTTGGCAGATCGACTGGACTGAGAACCTAACCACTGCTTTGAGGTCTCCAAAGCCTGTGGAGCTAAAAGGTCCTGGGTACACTCACGAAGAGGGGAAAGAGAAGGACACTCCCTCATCAGTTCCTCCCCGGGGAGTGACTAGCTTGTTGTGTCTCAAATCTGTATTTATCAGCACCTTAAGGGAGAAGCAAAGACCATGGGCACATTTATCGTTATGAAGGGACAGTATGGATTAAGAGGAAGAACAGTATGGTCAGAATTGGTCGAGTTGGCACATGTGTAATCCCAGCACTCAGGAGGCTGAGGCAGGGACTGGGGATTTAGCTCAGTGGCACAGCGCCTGCCTGGCAAGTGCAAGGTTGTGAGTTCGATTCCTGGTACTGGAAAAAAAAAAGAAAGAAAAAAAGAGGCTGAGGCAGGAGGATCTCCATGGTTTCTAGGCCGGCCAGAGCTACATACTGAGTTCAAGGCCAGCCTGAACTACATACATAGTGAGACCCTGTCTCCAAAAATACATACATACACACATTGGGAGAGAGTTGGGTAAGATTAAGTTTAAATTAAAGTGTTGGGGGGAAATGTTAAAAATTTCCAATTTTTTAATTGAAAGGAAAGGTTAAAATTGAGAAGACAGAAGCTATAGATGAATTGTGAATGGCCAGTGTATGGTACACCACTGACAAAATATACTGAACAGCCAAATGAACTGGTCTGGACATTAGGGTGCACCTGTCTCAATCCTGCCATTTGCACTAAAAGCACAAAAGTTTAAAAGAGGGAACCCAGGCACTAGAACACAGCAAGA